TTTATAATTGTTGTTTTTAATTTGTACAATTAACCTCCCTGTGGTTCGACCCCGGTCTTGCCGGGTTATTTATTACTTCGACACTCCTACACTTGGGAGAAGACATCAATCTTTTGGTTGTGTTAATGATGTCATAAAATGATAGCAAATTGAATATATTTAACTATAGATTTCAACAAAAAAAATTATTTTATCATAATTTCTACCAAAATTTTAGCAATCTTCTTTATATTGAGAGATCTTAAATTATCGATTAAGATTTGTTTTGTTTATATTAACAATCTTAATTTCTAATTCAATCATCCTATATCTTAGTACCTCAATTATAATCATCATGTCACATTAATTCATATGTTATTACACAATAACAATTATAAAAGTTCTAAAGAAAAGTAAAAACTAACATGTATAGGTGAATTTATAGCAACACAAATTAATAGCAACAACAAATATAAAAAGAAACAATTATGTTCATAAATCAATAATTCAAAATACAACAATTGCATTACAATCCTAAAATATACAAAACATATTTAGTCTATATTAACAAAAAGTGAGATAAGGTAAGATCATGAATGGCATTAGTGAGATAGCCCTGAAAAGTAAAATATTCAAATATAATTATTTAAATAATTATTACTAACTAATATACTGAAAAGTATTACTAAATATTTTTTTGTTTTATTTCAACTCAAAAATAAAACATTTCTTATCATATATTGATTTCTTTTATTTAACTTACCACATTAACACCATCATATTATTAGATATCCATAACCTGGATAATTTTTTTAATGTTGATATTAATTTCAAACTGATATTATTAATCATTATCTAATGAATGGTTAATCAAGAAAATGACGACACTAACTCATTAATATCATTAGCTACTGTTTCATTGGTTAGCTAATCATAAACTTTAAGGAAAATGTTGATGTCAGGGTTTTCACCGTGACATCATTAGCGTTCCCATTATGAAAGCTAATCAAATTCATTTTTCTTTTATTTTTTCCATCTTATGGATGGTTATGTTGATGCTAATAAACCTTCTTAGTTTTATGTATCAGGATTGACTAATTAAATTTAAATAAATACATATATCAATAGAACATATTGGTATCATTAACTTTCTGAATCCTGGGATAGCTAATCAAGTCTCTTATAAATGCAATCATTTAACGTTCAAAAATATTAATATTAAAAAAACCCCTTGATTGTTAGCTTTCATATCAAAAGTAACTAATCAAGTTTTTCTATTTATCTTCTTTCTTTATTTTCTCTATTTATTTAATGATTTTTCATACTAATACAGGAAACTGAAAGAAATAAATCTAACAATTCTATCAATGCAAAGATTTCAAAGTATAAATGTTAGGCACCTACCTGCAGTGTATGATGTCTCAGCAACATATTCAACTTATGATCTAGTTGTTAAGGTATTTTCTATAAAAAAAAAAACAAGATTAATTCATTACCATAAATTTTCATAACCTCAAGAACCATAACTTAGTTTTTTATGACAATTTTCATATTGAAACTCTTTAGCATATTTTTTTTTCCAATTAAGATTTTTCAAAACATATGATTGCACAATCTCTCAATTGTTTTAGTTTTTTATATATATATAATTAAATACCAATTATCAAAGCTTTCAATTTTCTTCATTTAGTACTTTGGTTTTTTTACCTCATTTGTTTATTTTGACTTCACCACATTGATGTTCCACCTTTACTTGTGGAAAAATTATGCATTTGTCATATACTTAATTAAATTAAAAAAAAATTATTAATAATAAAAATAAAATCAGTGTTATACATATCTAACTGATTGGATACAACTCATATTCATTAATAGTTCAAACATATTATCCAATGAAACATAAACATATATGAAAGATGTAATACTATATAAAAAGAAAAGGGCAAAATTAACTTAGTTAAACATTTTAGTAAGATTAGATATGAATTTATAATTTGAATTATGGTTGACCTTTCAAACATCACTAAGACTTTTTATCATAAACGCAATAGAGAGCATGTGCTTGCATAGTTCTATTTTTTAAATTTTATTAGTTTGCATCACAACTCTCATAAATCAAATAAAGAACATTTAATACAGCAAAAACATAAGTAAAGGTTCCATTATTTTTTATAAAAAATTTTACCAAAACCAAACTCCTATTCTCTAATACAATATATATGAACAAAAGATCTAATTTTATTTAAAAAAAAAAACCTTAAAAGCCAGATTAGCATAGTTATTTATTATTTGGATATCATAAACAAAATAATAGTTTGAATCATGGGGTTAAACTTTATGACCTATCTGTTTCTTTTTTTCAAAAATAAACAGTTGTTAATAAAAATGTCATGTTGCCACTAAGTTGCTTATACATAGCACTCATTCTATTCATGTAAATTATATTTATTATTAAAAAAGCTTTTATTATCTTTAATATTTATTTATATTTAATTGGTGAATCTAATGTTTAATTAATGAATCCAAAGTAAAAATAAAGTTAATGCAACAAAAATATTTTGCAAAGAAAATTATAAAATTATTATAATTATAAGATTTTTATTCCATCAAAGCATTATTCTTAAATATTTCTAGTAAATGTTCAATTAAGACTGGATATTAATTAGAATTATTAGACTGCTATATATTATATTATTTTCTTTATGAAAAAAAAAACAATTAATCTTATAAACTAAGGTATAAGACATAATTGAAACTAATATGTAGGTGCGAATCAGATGATATGTATACTAAAAAAATTCACATAAGAATTCTATATAAAAAGATCACATATATCGATGGAAAGGCACACATGACAGTTATGTAAATGATCTTTAGATTTAAAATAACTAAATTGTCTTAGATAGGGAGTTTTTGAAATAACTAAATTGTCTTAGATAGGGAGTTATGTTTGATCATGACCACATATTGTCCTAATCAAAAGTAAATAGATATTAAATATATCATAAACTATATGAAAGTATTTGAGTAATTAAAATAGTATTCATGATTCTAGGTGAATTTAAAAAAAAAATTCATTTATTCTCAACTAATATTAATTGTGAATTTTTTTACCAAGATGTAATAGGTTTTGAAAAGAATTTTAAAATTTTATTTAAAAAATCAATTACTATAATATTGAGAACTAACATAATTTAACAAAATATACATATTTCATGCTATAATATCTAAATCGAGACATTCATAATATAAAAGGTAATAATTATACTAAGAAACTTATCACTAAAAGATTAAATCAAACCACTTATGACTTTCTTGATAGTTAAGAGATCATACCATGTCATTAAATATTGTATTTAATCTTTAAATATAAATCAATTAATTATTGAATTAATAAAAAAATTATTTAATTTATTTAATTCTATTTTATTTAAAATTATGATTTATATTTAGAACAACTTATTAAAGAACCTAATAAGTCACACATATAAAAATCATTAGTCATTAATCAAGTATGAATTAATTGTAAATAGATTTTAAAAATTAAAAACTAAAATATAATTAATACTTGAATTATATTTAAAAACCTAGAAAAAAATCAAGTAAAAATTTAATTAAATAAATTTTTAAAATTATTCTAAAATAATATATATATATATATATATATATGATACGATATTATTTAAGAAAATAATTGATATTATTTATTTATAAAGTTTTTAGATTTTTTTATAAATAAAAAATTATATTTTTTATTTTCTAGTGAGTAAAACATAATATAAAAATATCTAAAACACAAAATAGAATATAACAACCTCTCTCTCCTCTCTCCTGGAAGGATATAAAAACTTTTTTATTAATAATTAATGACTTATAATTTACAATAACTCAAATCCTGGAAGGATATAAAAACTTTTTTATTAATGATTAATAACTTATAATTTACAATAACTCAACTTTAAAATAATTATTCAAATTCAAGATCCCTTTTAACAGAAAAAAATGTTAATGTTAATATCAATTAAAAGGGTCATATGCACACAAGGCCCCATCAACAACTCACATTAATCACATGTCAATCTAACCCAATTCCACGATGCCATAATATATTTCAATATGAATTTCATCAGCCATTAGATGTCACTCTATCACCGATCGAAGGCACGATCTATACGAATTTCTCTATTAACCAGACCATACGATCTATAAAATAGAATTTCTCTTGTAAAATCCCTAAATTTGTACCATCAGACCATACGATCCATAAAAGCACAGAAAGCATGGAACATAAATTTTTCTCTATTAACCAGGAAGAATCAGTGAGCTTCTTCAAATAATGCATTAACTTTATAGTATTAACCACTCAAAATGATTATAATACCTCGTGGTGTGAAATAAATCACAAACATGTTTCCTTCAAAAAATGCACAAAATTCTTCAGTGTTACTGCCTAATATTCTGAGCCTGCACCTTCTCCTTGGTACATTTAAAATCTACAGCTATCTTTCAAGACTTCAAAAATCAAGTCCATATAGCCAACTATATCTATACCTTAAGAAGCTTGACACGGTTCTCTATTTTCATACTAAAATCATGTCTTTACCGGCTTGAGAGTACAACAGTAGTTAATCTGCAAAGGAAAGATGTCCAAACAATTCATATTCTGCAAAAATGAAAGTGTGATGCTACATTAAAAGACCTTAATACTTTAGTAACTTGAATACCAAGAGGACATTTCAGTGTTTAGACCGTTTGCTATGTATCTCATTTTGGTCCCTGTCAGCAAAGACATGGATAGTGCGATATTTACTCCTTTTTTATTTTACAAAGAATGCACATTTCATGGAGAGAAAAATCCTTTCCAATGGAAAAAAGCAGGTAGAAACTCACAAAAGAATTCAAGAGCCACTGAAATATCTGAACTTGCATATTCCACGGCGATTCTGAGCAAAAGAATCACGAAGAGACTGTATCATGCTACATACAGCAGGTATCTTACCCAGTTCTTTGTCCTCTTCCTGTACAATTCATTTTCTTTAATTAAGTATTAAAATTAAATATCTCATGCGTGCTTGCATATGCAGGAGAGAGGGAGGGAGGTAATACCACTTTGGTAATGCGTTCTTCAAAACTTGTAGAATTAGAATCAACAGGCATGAATATGTTTCTGTAAGCTGTTCTCAAACTCTTAATCTAGATCATTGACCAAAAATATACAATTATATCATTAATGTGACAGAAAAATGAAGATTAATTCAAAATATTAAGCAAGCAAAGATGTGGGTGAAAACAAATTGGAAATATAAGGTTCATTATTCAGAAAAGCAGAATTCACCAATTCTATATCTTAAATGGTTACGAATAAATGTGAAAAGATTTCAAATGACAGCCTGACACATCCTCAAACAACAAGAGGCATGCATAAATTTAAGAGATGAGAGCTCTCCTTAGTACCACAATTTATACTTATTGGATGCCAATGCACTCATGAAGTATATATAAGCCAATTTGATCAATTTTTTTATATAATAGCATAAATATGGCATGGGAGCTCAGGTGTCTAACCATACAATATTGGCCAACACGCTCACTCTACTCTTAGAGTGAATGAAATAGAAAGATGAAGGAAATGGGAAGATTAATAATTTGCCCAATTATTAAACAATTTACATCATTGCTTTGATGATTTTGGAGTCGATTCCATTAAACCATGTCAGTTATTGATTCAACACACTTCCACTGTAATATCCAAGTAGATATTCTTACTTTCTCCATGTGAAGTAGAGTGGGGAAGGTTGCAGGAAATGGGGTGAAATTTGTGGCATCAAATCACAACATTAATAAATAAAAATTATAGACAACACTATGTATGTTAGAAAGGTTCACAGGGAGTTTCAAGAATGAAAGGAGCCAGAAATTATATACTGAAGAATGAAAAAAAATAGTCAAGCTTTATTAGAGACAGACAAATTTGTAAAAGAAAGCAATGGTATCTAGAACAACACCCCACACCACCCCCCCCCCCCAAAAAAAAAAAAAAATAATAATAATAATAATAATGAATGAATGAATAACTAAAATCAACCAAAACATTTTTTTACATATTGGTAGTCACATGATTGCACCTTGTTTAGATGGACACAGAATCAGTCCTACTATCAAAAGCATTCAGTGTAAGTTGGTAGCTGAAAAGTTATGTGATCATTAATGAAATTGGACAAGAAGTGCGTGGATGCTGGATGCAAATGGTGATTGGTATAAAAATTGGAGTGAAGTGAGGTAATGGAAAACAAAAGATGCAACAGCTTTGGAACAGAAATTTTGTTGTTCACCCAAAAATTGCTGACAAAGTTGTGGAGACATAAGTTTTATGTGTTACCCACCAGGATGAAGGTGCACATTTTGATGGTTTTAGACTCAATCATGCCATCAATAATTATTGGCAGAAAAGTGAAGGATGGGGGCAATCAGATGATCACCAAAATTGTTACAGAAAAGTGCAGCAACCATGATAACAATTACACTAAATAGAACTTCAGATGTTACACTACACTATAAGATTACCATACAACTACCATAATTCAAATCAGACATTTGCCAAAGCATCCATCTATGCAAAATATGTGTGTCAGAGTGTGTGTGCATACACTCACAAGTGCATATTGCTGTGTTTGGAGTTGGATTTGCAGCTAAGTAAACCACATCCAAGAATGCATTGGAATTTGTAAATCACACCAAAAATTTTGAAACTATTTTTTACATTAAAAGTAGGTTATCTGTAAGCTTAATTAAATCCATCAAAATGAAAGTTCAATTAATTCTAACCTCTGTGGCTGTGAATCCATTACGCCGAAGACCTTCCAAATTCAAACCGCGAAGCTCAGCTCTTTCTCCAACCACCATCGTGTACTTTGGGACATCTTGTGAAACCTTCAGGCATATGATATAAGTAAATAACATCAAAATTCCGTGCTGGTTATAGACTACTAAACACATGCACAGGTCAGGTACTACAAGAAGCTGATACATGGCTACATTTCAATGTTGGACAACCAACATCCATGTTAGGTTCCCTTTCACACAAGAAGGCTTTACAAAATGATAATTAAAACCCAGATAAAAGGAAAAGATCATACCACAGATCCACCACCAACAAAAGAAAAGGAACCAATATGGCAAAATTGATGAACAACAATGGCTCCAGCAGTGTGAGTGTAATCCTACATGTGCAACACTTGAATCAAGTATGACATATAACATATAACTATAAAGAATGGAGCTATCAACCCTGACCATAATATCTAAAGACAAGAACTTACTTCTACAACAGCATGGCCAGCTAGAAGAGTATTGTTAGCAAAAATGTTATTGTTGCCAATATTGCAGTCATGAGCAATATGACAGGAGCCCATGATAAGATTGTTATCACCAATAACCTACAAAGAAAATACTAGTCAAAATTTGATCAATTTAGACTTCACATAAGTATGACCTTTTTCATAAAATACTACTAGCATCATTGCCGAACCGTTTTATCACTTGATTTTGAAGATCGGTGTATTGAAGTGTGCTCTCTAATCTCGTTATTGTCTCCAATGTGAAGAAAACATTCATCCCCTGGCTAAATCCATAAAAAAAAAAAAAAAAAAAAAAAGACAGAAGAAGAAGAAGAAGAGGAATTAACTGTCTTGTTCAAAAAACAGTGAATGCCCATTTAAAATTCAAATTTGAGCTTCTATATATGTGCAAGTATATCCATGGTAATCAACATTGAACAAAAATGATAATAGTTATGACAAATAAAAATCGATGAAGATTGAACAAAAATATGGCAATATCTTCACATGTATGTGCAATTTTATCTGAATAAGACAGCAGTGCCGTAACAGTCTAATCTAACTCAAAAGTTATCAAGATCAAACACCAAATAAGAAGAAAGGATATATAATACATAGATGCCAATATACAAAAGTTCATTATTACAAAATTGTTTTATCAATCCAAGTGAATTGCTTTATCAATCCAAGTGATTGAGCTTCTTCTTCTTCTTTTTTCCTTAAAAAGAAACAAGACACAATAATCATGACATAAAATTTCCATAACAATCAGCATTGACAGAGTTGTGTGACGGCTTTTTTATCAGCAAGCAAAGGAGACAGAGAATAGCTAAAGGAAAAGGTCATTCATAATAACATAAACATTGTAGTAACAAGGAAGTTTTACCCAGCAAAGAGTATTTCTAAATAAAAAATAAGATCATAGTTTGTACATGTAATGTAATATACAGGCATATCCATAATCATAACTACAAAGCAAGAGATAGATGTATACACAAGAAAAGTAGCTGTCCTAAAGTTTATCAGGCAGCCCCAAATAAAAAAAGTTGAAGATCACTAAATGTCTAAAAAAATGCTTCATAAATAATGAATATTGCTTCACAAATATAATTTTGGCGATAAATGAGATTCAAAAATTAGCAGGAAAATGAACCTTGTATTTCAAATCCTGGCATTTGACACCGATGACAGCATGGTGACCGATAACATTATTGCATCCCAAAACTGTACGTCCAGGAAGATGATCACCAACCACAGCACCACTGTCTAACACAAAATTTATTGCGTCTTTTTTTCAGAAAAATATATATATATATCCACATAGTAACAGTAATTAATCAGTGATTGTTGAAGTGAACTGACGGCATCAAAAGACAGTGATCCCCAATCTCAGTATCTCCGAAAACATGGCTACCGGGATATAATCGACATCCATTTCCAAGCTTTACTGAAGATCCGATTGTGCAAAATGGACCAACTGAAACACCCTACACAAATAATAATAATAAAAATAAAAATAGCAGCACCACCACCACCACCAACAACAACAACAACAATAATAATTTGTTTCTAGAACTAAAATAAGAACAAAAAAAAAAAAACAGTAGCAGAATTATCAGTATGCTTCATTGATGAGATTGTTTACGTGGCCAATGACAGCGTTAGGGTGGACGTCGGCGGAGGGGTGAATTAAGTTAGGGTTTGCGTCTGCGGTGGCTTTAATCTCGCTTGAACAATCAGAATCAGCATCTGCATCTGCTTCTACGATCACAAACCAAAAGGAATTCAGCTAAGTTGTTGTAAACAGTAGAGTAGGAGTACTTATCAATTAAATTGAAGAAGAGAGAGACATCACATGGGAGTGCTGTTGCGGAGAACAAGTGTGGGATAGAGGGTGAAGCACTACTGCTACTGCGAGCAAAGCCAAATAGTGGGTTGCAGATTTTTGTTTTTATGTTGGGTTTGAGTTTGAGGAGGATGGAATTTGTAGCTGCTGCCATCGATGACGATGATGAACTGGATTCGTTCGGAGGGAAATTAGGAGAGTAATTCTGCCACTCCTTTCAATTTTCACGAGTAAATTATAAATTAGTTCCTCAAGTTCTAAACAATGAATTAAATAGTCCCTTTATGAGTTTTTGTTTAAACCATTTTTTTTTAACTTGCTATTTTTTTTTATTTTATTGTTCTTTTCCAATTTATTTACTTCTTTATGAAATAGAAAAGAAAAAATAAAAAATAAAAATATTTTTTTTAAAACAAAAATAAAAAATAAAAATATTTTTTTAAAACAAAATAATATTAAATTAGTCATGTTCGGTGCAGGATTAATATATCAGTTTTTTATTAAAAAAAAAGCTAATTAATTTATTTTCAAAAGATTTTGCTAAGTCACATGCCACTTTTGTGTGTAGAAAGTTATTGTTTTAATTTATTAATGTTCATTTGATATCAAATTATATATGAAATTAAATTTAATTTTATATATAATTTTAAATACAATTAATAATTTATTATATTTTTTATTTTTTAAAATAAAATATTAAATTATATAATTCAATTCAATTGTACTATTTAGAATACTTATATAATTGAATTAGTAATTTTAACAATTTTACCATTAACTTATATTTAATAAAAGTGGAAGATATTTATTTATATTCATTTTTATAAAAGATATGTTTAGATGTCTCTCTTCACTTCAAAAAAATATTTTTCCCTGTATTTATATTCCTTTCCCCTTCCCCTCTCCCTCTAATTCTAACTCTTCATTTGTTAAATCTTAATTAAAAAAAGACTGTATTTTTATAATATTATTTTTATGTTAATTTTAAGAGGAATTAAATTGAAAATAAGATGGTCTCTTTCTAATTTACATTTTATCTATTGTTTATAATTTTAATTTTATTTAGAATTCAAGTCAATATCCTCAAAATAATTTCAAACACATAAACTGAATTCACCCTTGGAATTGAATTCAATTCCAAGGTTCCATATAGCTTCAATGAGTTATATGATAATTTAAATTGATTAAACTCATAAAAATATATTTATATTTTATTAATTATAGAAATTATTTTTTTATTGGATAATAATATCTATTATTAAAAATATAAATGAATGGTAATTAAAATTGAAAATAATATATTCCAATAGTAATTTCTTTGATTATTAAAAATAAATATATTAGATATTTAAAGTATAAATATTGTCTAAATAATAGTACTTGGAAATAAATGAAGAATTATATATATATATATATATATATATTAACAGAAATATGAGATTTAAAATATATCTTCTCATGAATAAGAACTAAAAGTGAATTTTTTGCTAGAAATCTCAATACTAAATTCAAACTTAATATTATACGTATTAGTTTATATATTTTATAACCAATTGTTTGGTTATACATTATATTAATGTTTATTATTAATAAAAATGTTTTTTATCTTTAATATTCATTTTATATGTGATTAATGAATCCAATATTTGATTAATGAGTTTATAATAAAGATAAAATCTTTATAATAAAAAGATTTGTAAAGAAAATTATAAAGTTATTATAATTTTGGGATTTATATTGCATCAAAATTATTTTTTCTAAATTTTCATGGTTGATGCTTTATTAAAATTAGACATTAATTATAGTCATTGAGATTGATACATATTATATTTTTTTTAATGAAATAAAATAGTTGTTTTTATAAATTGAGGTATGAGGGATACTTAAAACTAATATATACTTATTTATTAAATGATATATATACCAAACCGACTTATATGATAATTCTAAATAAATAAATTACTTGTGTTTATGAGAAGACTAACGTAACAATTGTGTAAGTTATTGTTATACATGATATTACTAAATTATCTTATATAGAAAATATTATGTTTTAATCATTATATGTTTTAATAATAGGTAACAAATAAGCAAATATTATGTATAATATGAACTATATAAAGATATTTCAGTAATAAAAAGATAATTCATCACCCTAGATGAATTAGAAAAAAAAAATTTCACATGTTCTCAAATAGTATTAATTGTGAAATTATTATGCAATGTAGAATGAGATTTAAAAAGAATTTCAAATAATATTTAAATGATTAATGACTATAGTGTTAAGAACAAACATGATTTGACAAAAAAGATATACTTCATGTTATAATATCTAAATTAAAATATTCTTAATGAATGGATGGTAATTATATTGAGAAATTACTAATTGAAAAGTTAAGTCAAACCACTTATGATTTTTCTAATATTTGTGAGATTATAACATGTTGCTAAACATTGTACTTGATCTTCAAATATAAATCAATCAGTTTTTTGAATTGATAATAAATTAAATTATTTATTTTATTTTATTCTATTTTATTTAGAATTGTGATCTATATTTGGACCAACATATTAAGAAATCTAATGAGTCACACACAAAAGAACAATTGATCAAATATTAAAATGAAATAATTAATCAATGGCAATTTAATTATAAATATGTTTTCAAAAATAAAGACTAAAATGTAATTAATATAATGAATTACAATTTTAAACATAGAAGAATCAGATAGAGAATATTATGCCTCATATTTATGTATATAGAAAAACTATGTTAACTATAAAAAATACGGCAGAGAAAGATGTGAAACACCAAAAAAAAAAAAAATATAGCACCCAAATAAATAACAATTTCTCTCTTTTAAAAAAGAATATAGAAGATTTTTCATTGGTGATTTATATGAATTACTTTTAAAAGTTAAATACTTGAATGATTTATGATTTGTGAGAATTTAGCTTTAACAAAATTGATCAAATCTAAAATAAAAAAACTTAATGTTCAAGTAATCTTCGCTAAATAATCCTAAATTATCTAGAAAATGTTTGTTTTGCATTTTAAAAACACTTTTGAAAAAAAATTAATATTTTTTTAATGGTTTCAGATTATTTTAATATACTAATATCAAAAATAATTTTTTAAAAATAAAAATAAAAATATATTTTGATATATTTCCAAATAAAAAACACTTTAAAAAACAACTATTATCACACTTTTTAACATCCCCTTAACAGGATAATTAAAACTTTATTTCAAAAAACCCTAGAGTACATGTATAAGTTAGAATTCATAAATTAAAAGATAAAGATTTCAATTTGTTTATTAACTCAGAATCTTGTCTCAATTTTATAATTTTAAGTTAAAAATTATTTATAATGATCAAATATATTTATAACAGTCAAAAGTTATAAAATTTCTTAAACTAGTTGCAAAAATCTTGCTAAACATAGTCTTACTCGCTCAATACCTCGTGTGTGTGTGTCATAATATTACTCCCTTGTATTTTGAGTTTCTCGTTTATGCATATATATATATCATGAATTCACCCCAACTAGTCTGAAATCAGAACATAAAAATGAATTACTAGAGAAAATAGACAAATTTCGCAGCCTTTGCGTACTGCTATACATCCAAAAAATAAAAATAAAAATAAAAATAAAACAATGAGTTCTTCATTTTAAATCAGGACGAGCTAAGGAGTGAGAGTTTTAACTGGCATGTAGTAAATTAGAACTCTCCTCTAATGCCACTCCAATGACCTGCCAAAAGACTAGCTTCCCTTCCGTTCTTCTTGTTGCCTCCCTTACACTGTTGCTTTCTGTGAAATATCTATGAGATTTGTTGAATTCATGACAATGTCACCAGCTTCCAACATCCGGAGCACCTTTACAAACAAACAAAATGATATACACACACGGGCGCACGCGCATATAATTTGTAGTAAGTAATCTATCTATTAATTATCAAGTTATGCATGATCATATGCAGTAACAACAGTAATTAAGCAACATGAACTGAAGCACCGTTCACTGGATAAGCTCTATCATTCAATCTCCTATATGTACTATCCAGATAGTGACAAGGTCTGACGATGAATTATTTAGATGTGAATGCAGATGGCTGAACATTGATTGCAGCAACTTCTTATCAGTGAATGCTGAACGCCAACTACTAATAGAAGCATCTAGGGAACCAACTTTTATCACAATTTGGCTCCAAATTAACCTAAAAGCTCCTTTTGACGAAGACTACAAGTTGATGCCGTCGGTTTCCTCATGACTTCTTTTTCTGCTACTTTTCAAGCATTGTCTGCAGCTCAGCAGTAAATCATTTATTTCGACTTGATTAAGAATTGGATATAGAAAATGCTTGTTCAACAAGTCATCGTTGGTCATTCCTGGGTTGTGAATCAAATGATTAACTTGACAATGTGGAACTAACACCAAGAAACAGCCAGGTGCGCCTTCTGTGCTGGCCAGTGCAAGTGATTCTCACCATAAATTAGTGGTCTAATTATCATTTAACCAGGTGCATCCTCCCATCAAGCATTGTTGTGATACTAGTTCAATCATAGGCAATGCATGCTTAATAGCAGGCAATTTCTTTCCTATCTGTAAGCGTTGACATGGTTATGAAATAAATCTGCTCATCGCACAAAAATTATGGGATACAATGGAAGTCGTGTAATGGAAATGGAAATTGATGAGTATTGGCAATTCAGTACACGAAACAACCAGCACTTGTGATATACAATATAGAAATGCAGTTCATTCTCTAGAACTTTTGTAATTACCTGTGACATGCGAGGCCTTGAATGAGGATCCTGCTGTATGCATGATGAGGCACATTGCAACATGTTATGGACCTCTAGCTCTGAATAGCAGTTACTTAAGCGTGGATCCACCAGTTCATGAATAGCATGCTTTTCTAGGAGTGGACGTGCCTGCTCCAGATTTAATGACATAAGCAATTAACAAGAGACAAGACAAACCAGAGAACAATTCATTCTGTCTTTTAACAAAACAGGTTAAAACATCTTCATAAAAAAATTCATGGAATTTAACCCCCATGTTAGATTTTCACATATTTAAAACTAGAGTTCTTGAACTGCTACCCATTCAGTTAGGCACTGTTGACCTTTGGGTCGGTTTATGTCAACAGCTTTCCGTCCTGTGATTAGTTCCACCAATACTACCCCGAACGAGTAGATAT